AAAAAAAAAAAAAAAAAATGTAAACAACAGGCTGAGTGTGGTGGCCCACGCCTTTTACTCCAGCACTTTGGGAGGCCCAGGTGGGTGGATCACCTGAGTTCAGAAGTTTGAGACCAGCCTGGCCAACACATGAAACCCCATCTCTACTAAAAAAAATACAAACAATTAGCTGGGTGTGGCACCTATAGTTCCAGTGACTAGGGAGACTGACGCAGGATAATTGCTTGAACCCAGGAGGCAGAGGTTGCAGTGAGCAGAGATCGTGCCACCACTGCACTCTAGCCTGACAACAAAGCCAAAACTCCATCTCAAAACAAACAAACAAAAAAAAAGCCCACACTGAAATGTATAATGAGAAAAGTATAATCTTTTGGGAAATCATACAGCCTCCTGTCCCCCACCCACAAAACCGCATTTAATAGTATATATTTCTTCATAGTTATGAGCTGAATGGTAATTTTAAAGAAAGATTTTGAAACTAAACACGTGATTCATTCACAACTTTTACAAAACAAGTACATATTCTAATTACTGCTCGCTCCTAAGCAAAAGGCAGGAGGAAAGACAGAGGCATATATAATTTACAAGTTGATGTTTTCACCAGTATCTATCATGATGCTACAGAATGGTCATACAACCATTACTCATTAGAGCAAAGAAAGTACTGTCCCAGTACTAAGCACAAAATCCAGGGACGACACCCAGAAGGAATATAGGAAGCAAAAAGTAGCATGGTTCTTCAAAAGCGCGTCACAAAATCTTAACAGAAACACAAAGATCAGGCTGGGAAGGGTGCTCTGCATCTCCAATCCCAGCTACTCGTTAGGCCCAGGCGGGAAAACTTCTTGGGTCCAGAAGGCGGAGCCTGTGTAATGGGCAATGATCCCGCCAGTGAATAGCCACTGCACCGCAGCCTGGGCAATATAGGGAGACCCTGTCTCTGAAAAATATTTTTTAAAATAAAAACATAAGGACCATTTAATAAATGATTTATCTTTTTATTATTATTATTTTTTGAAATAGAGTTATGCTCTTTCGCCCAGGCTGGAATGAAGTGGCGCGATCTCAGCTCACTGCAACCTCCACCTCCCCGCGGATTCAAGTGATTCTCCTGCCTCAGCCTCCCGAGTAGTTGGGATTATAGGCGCCCCGCTATAAGTCAGCCAACCACGCCTGGATAATCACTGTGTTTTTAGTAGAGACGGTATCTCACCATGTTGGCCAAGTTGTTCTCAAACTCCTGACCTCAGGTGATGCACCCCCCTTGGCCTCTGAAAGTGCTGGGATTAAAAGAGTGAGCCACTGCGCCTGGCTATTGTTAATAATGTTAATTCACCCTTTATCTAGAGTAACATAGTCAAAGGCAAACGCAGCAATGAACTAAGAAGCTACCTGGGAGTATTCTTGAAGTTTCTCCCTTTCCTAAGGCACGGACCCCAACCCCCAACCTCCCACAACGGACTATTGTTAGCAGCAGCACAATTTATGGTTCGCAGAACAGACTAATCCAGAGTTCTGCCCCGGCCCGCCTGATTCCTGCGAGACACTGATCGAGTCTAAAACCACAGAAGGTAGGATTCTCACTAGCTGTGAGGGAGGGAAGAGGTCCCCTACTTCAGACCCGGAGAGGCGGGAAGGAAGCAGCCTGGGTCCTACAGAAGTTCCAAAGAACCCACGCTCCTCACCGATCGTGTCCACGCGATGCGTGAGGAGCAAAGTCCGAGAGCCGCACCGAGCGGCGGCAGTGGCTGCCTCAGTCCCGGCATGTCCTCCACCAATGACTATCACGTCGAAGTGCGGAGTCCGGGGCCCCGCGCTGTCACTGCTCAACCGGGGCAACGGAAACTGCCGCTTGGTGAAAGAAGCCGCGACCCGACCGCCACAGCCTCGGAAGGAGAACATGCTGGGAGAAAATCTGACTTTGAACCTGACAGGAGGGACGGGCAAAAAAAACTTAAGCAACAAGAGAGAATCTGTAGGGCGCAGCCATCTTGCCTGAATGTGACAGCGTAGCACGTCTACGTTCAGCGTCGCCGCTGATTGGCTGTTTGGAGCTACTTTCCTGTTGAGGGAGATAGGTGATAGCGCCGAAGGCCAGTTGTGTGTTTTCTTTCCTAGTTCTTGCGGGCTATTTGATTTCCTGTGGTTCTGGGTTGGGAGCCCCTACTAAAGGTCATCTTTTGCGCTTTTCAGGCCCTGCAATCCTCATCGCTGGGTAGCCACCTACGATCAATGAATTTGATCAAAGTTTGCCTTATTAGATCTTTGTAATCTGTAATCTGACACAATGTCACTTTCTGTTTGTCTATAAGAACTAAAGGCTGGAGGCCGGGCTTGGTGGCTCATGCCTGTAATCCCAGCCTTTTGGGAGGCCGAGACGGGCGAATCACGAGGTCAGGAGTTCAAGACCGGCCTTGCTAACATGGTGAAACCCTGTCTCTACTAAAAATACAAAAATTAGCTGGGCATAGTGGTGCGTGCCTGTAATCCCAGCTACTTGGGAGGCTGAGGCAGGAGAACTGCTTGAATTGGGACCTGAGAGGCAGAGGTTGCTGTAAGCCGAGATCACACCACCGCACTCCAGCCTGGCCTACAGAGTGAGACCCCGTCTCAAAAACAAACGAACAGCAACAACAACAACAAAAAACTAAACTAAAAGCTGAAAATAGGAACAGATTCAGACGGGGTGTGGTGGCTCATGCCTGTAATCCCAGCACTTTGGAAGGCCAGAGAGGGTGGATCAGGAGGTCAGCAGATCAAGACCATCCTGGCCAACATGGTAAAACTCCGTCTCTACTGAAATCACAAAAATTAGCCAGGCATGGTGGCACGCGCCTGTAATCCCAGCTACTCAGGAGTGTGAGGCAGGAGAATCACTTGAACCTAGGAGGCAGAGGTTGCAGTGAGCCGAGATTGTGCCATTGCACTCCAGCCTGGGCAACAAGAGCTAGACTCTGTCTCAAACAACAACAACAACAACAACAAAAATCAAAAGGAGTTCAAATATATTTGTGAAGGAAATATTCATGATGGCTAATTAGAAGAATCCCTCGGTTGGAGGTTAAATGTCCAGCCTTTTGGAACTCACAGCCTTTCTCAGAAAGGAAAGGTTTGACTAACTGAAGGGTAAAACAAGTGTGGCAGGTTTTTTTGTTCTAATTATAAAAAGTATCAAATACATAGGCAGGCATGGTAGCTCATGCCTGTATTCCCAGCACTTTGGGAGGCCAAGGCAGTGAATCACTTGAGGCCAGGAGTTTGAGACCAGCCTGGCCAATATGGTGAAACCTTGTCTCTACTAAAAATACAAAATTAACTGGGCATGGTGGTGTGCACCTGTCGTCCCAGACACTCAGAAGGCTGAGGCAGGAGAATCACTTGAACCCAGGAGGCAGAGGTTGCAGTGAGCCCAGATTGTACCACTAGGCAACTGAGCGAGACCCTGTCTCAAAAACAAAACAAAACCCCACAAAACAAAAGAAACTAAACATTATTCATTATTATTATTTTATTACTATTATTATTTTTCAAAATAGGATCTCACTCTGTTGCCCAGGCTAGAATGCAGTGGCACTATCATGGCTCACTGCAACCTCTACCTCCTAGGCTCAAGCAATCCTCCTGCCTCAGGCTCCCCAGTAGCTAGGACCATAGGTACGGGCAGACACTTGGCCTGGCTAACTCGGTATTTATTTTATTTTAGTTTTGGTGACACAGGGTTGGAGAAGGGGGTTTCTCGCTATGTTGCCCAGGCTGGTCTTGAACTCCTGGTCTCAAGCAATCCTCCCAAAGTGCTGGGATGACAGGTGTGAGCCCTGCTTCCAGGCTGTTTTTTGATATTTTTTTATTAAAAAATTTTTTTTTTTGCCTTCTGCAACATCATTTACATACCTTTTATATTTTTTATTAAAAATTAGATCATAGTATATGCATTGTTTTGTAATCTAGTCTTAATAATCATGAACATTTTTCTATCAAAAAAATAATAACTTAAGACATAAGGAAACTCTATATGGAACCTTAGGGATGTGGGAAAATACCCAAAGATTAAACTGGGAAGGCATTCATATCCCAAGTACAGAAGGCCTTCAGAGAGCATAGGCAGTGCAAAGTTGGGTGCTTCCAAAGGGAGCAGCAGCTCTGTGCAGACCTCCTGGGTCACAGGTGGGTGCAAAACTTATACCTTGCAGTGTATGCCGAGAATGAAGTACTTAGACTAATTCTAGCTGAGTGGAGTTGGGGAGCAGCTCTTCTGAGAGAGTCGGCCTTAGTTAGCATCCCTCTGCCAAATATTTATTGAAAGGGCTTGTATTAGCTACAAACATCCACTAGATGGCTTTTTGAGGTCAGGTCATGAGACACATAATGACCTTGTATAACACTCACACCGCATTCTCAACAGGCTGTTTTCAGCGTTATCACATCACACACTCCACTCCCTGTCTTGTTGTCAGGGTGCAGGAGTTTCGTTCTCATGCACAAATAACATGCACACAGTGCCTGAGTTTCTTCCATGCCCTGACCTCAAATGCCTTGTACATAAGCTTGAATATGTTGCCGTGCACCCCCCACAGTGGGCTTCACAGAGGGGCTTGCAAAAGGATCAACTTCTTGGTGTGTGATTCTCTGGCTCACAGGCAGCTGTATGCAGGCAAGGTGGGAATTTTAGTTTCTCTGTCTAGAAGGCTGTGGACAGGTTATAGGCAGACCAAGTTTACAAAGTCACAGAGATCACTTTCTGGGCTTGCGGCTGAGGTAGGCTCTACCAGATGTTCTCATATCCAAGGCTGACTAGAGACAAACATGAGTTATATAGAATAAGATGTAGGCCTGGCATGGTGGCTCACATGTGTAATCCCAGCACTTTGGAAAGCCAAAGTGGGCATATCACTTGAGGCCAGGAGAACCTCATCTCTACTAAAAATACAAAAATCGGCCAGGTGTGGTGGCACGCACCTGTAATCCCAGTTACTCAGGAGGCTGAGGTACGAATTGCTGCAATGAGCTGACATTGCACCACTGCACTCCAGCCTGGGTGGCAGAGTGAGATGCCGTCTTAGAAAAAGTTGTAAAGTCAAGTAAACTAGAAAAAATATATACCCACTTGGCCATGCATGGTGGCTCACGCCTGTAATCCCAGCACTTTGGGAGGCTGAGGAGGGCGGATCACGAGGTCAAGAAATTGAGACCATCCTGGCCAACATGGTGAAACCCTGTCTCTACTAAAAATACAAAAATTAGCTAGGCGTGTGTGGTGGCGTGTGTCTGTAGTCCCAGCTACTTGGGAGGCTGAGGCAGTAGAATTACTTGAACTCAGGAGGCGTAGGTTGCAGTAAGCCGAGATCGCACCACTGCACTCCAGCCTGGCGCCTGGCAACAGTGAGACTGTCTCAAAAAAAAAAAAAAAAAACTCTATATATCGATATATATCTATATGTACCCACAGACAAATTTCCTGGGGTTTCCTACTAGATAAAATCCAAGTTCCACATCGAGACTCAACTAAACAGTCATTTTCTCTGTGATTTGGACACTGACTGCCAAAGCAAGGTTGAATAAAGAATGACTTCTCCTCCTTCGGTAGGCCAATAGTAGAGGTCTTTGACCTGGCCCAGTGGATCGTTGCTTGTGTGCTTTTGTTTAAAGAAACCACCAGTGACTTTAGGGGATTTTAGAAACTGATGGAAGAGAGAATTAAACTAGCTGTAGAGTCATTTACAAGATTTCATGACAAATAGCTGGAGTCTTTGGATAAAACAAACAGAACCATAGAGCAGAAGCCTTCAGAATGTGGTAGTTATCCCTGAACATCCTGGAAGACCATCCAGGTGCACTTGCAGTTACATTTTTTTTCTTTTTTTTTTTTTGTGACGGAGTCTCACTCTATTGCCCAGGCTAGAGTGCAGTGACATAATCTTGGCTCACCGCAACCTTTGCCTCAGCCTCCCAAGTAGCTGGGATTACAGACATGAACCACTACACCTGGCTAATTTTTGTATTTTCAGTAGAGATGGGTTTTACCGTGTTGGCCAGGCTTGTCTTGAACTCCTGACCTCAGGTGATCTGCCTGCCTGAGGCTCCCAAGTGCTGGGATTATAGGCGTGAGACACCGTGCTTGGCCAGCACTTGCAGTTTCAAGGAAATGGATTTCCAAATTTCAACTTCCATTTTGCTCTCCCCTGAAATTGGTCAGCTTGAAACAAGTTTGACTATGCAATGGTCCTCTTTCTATTCCTCCTCCTTTTATATTTTACAAGAGAAAATATACCTTTCTGGCATCCTAATTTAAACTACAGCTCCTTGCTCCCAGGTGGTAAAAATCTCTTTGCACTTAAGGATATATAAAAATATTTTGTTTCAGGGAAATCTTTTAAAAAAGTATCAAGGCATTTTTGTCCATTGATAGGTCAATGGATAAACAAAATGTGATATATACATACAAACCAATATTATTCAGCCCTAAAACGGAAGGAAATTCTCACAACATGGATGGACCTTGGCTCAGTGCAATAAGCCAATAACAAAAAGACAAAACATTGTATTATTTCACTGACATAAAGTACTTAGAGCAGTCAAAATCACAGTCAGAAAGTAGAATGGTGGTTCCCAGGGGCTGGAGAGAGGAGAGAATGAGGAGTTATTGTTTAATGGGCACAGAGTTTCAGTTTTGCAAGATGAGAGTTTTTAAGATAGATGATAGTGATGGTTGCACAGGAATATGAACATACTTAATATTATTGAACTATACACCCCCAGAATGGTTAAAATAGGACAAAGGGGGAGAAAAAAAGTAGTCAAGGCTTTCTAAACCCAAGAGGATCTTGTCTAATATGAATTTTTTTTTTTTTTTGAGACGGAGTCTCATTTTGTCCCTGAGGTTGGAGTGCAGTGGCAGGAACTTGCTCATTGCAACCTCTGCCTCCTGGGTTCAAGCTATTCTCCTGCCTCAGCCTCTGAAGTAACTAGGATCATAGGCATGTGACATCACACCTGGCTAACTTTTTGTATGTTAGGTAGAGACAGGGTTTCACCAAGTAGGCCAGGCTGGTCTTGAACTCCTGACCTCAAGTGATCCACCTACCTTGGCCTTCCAAAGCACTGGGATTACAGGTGTGAGCCACCGCA